TGTTGTTAGATTTTTTTTAAGTAAGTAATTGAAAACAGAATCAGTTTGCCTTCCTTGTCTTGGGTTTTCCCCAGGATCTGCCAGTTATTTTCCTTTGAACAATCTCACAGAGTATTCTACCAGGGATGTGCTCTTGGATGTCCCATTTTGGCATTGTGCGTCAGAGTTTTATTGCATTGCACTCCAAAAAAAAAGGGTCAACTTTTATCGAAGAAGCCGTCCACTTTGGGCCCCCACTGCAAACTCAGTGGTCTCATTGAAATGAAAAGCAAGGCCAAACTGGACTTTAGTTGCACAGAACACTGGACACTTGCCATATGTGTGCATCTGTGTACAGAATGTGTGTGTGTGAACGTTACTGGTGGATGTTAGGTCCATTAGCATTTCTGTAATGAGATACAGTCACTGAAACAGAAATAAGTCTTGAATAATAAGGCACTTTAAAGATGTGATAATGCTTACAGCTGCTCGGTATTAACAGTTGAATCTTCCCACATTGTGTATACTGTCACAAAAAACACACGACCAGGGCAGATTTACAGGCGAACAAGAGCCTCTTTCGTTTATCTCTCTGCTGCATGTAATTTGTACACATATGGAGTCATATCTAAACTTCATACACGGTTTTTCAAAGCTGTGTACGAGGACACTGTCACTACCCGATCTGCCCCCCTGCACCATCTGCACTGCACATGTGCGAGCTGGTCCGCCATATTTGACAACTACATACGGCAACTCTAATAACTCTAATCAATTCTAGCATCAGCTCTCCCGACCATGGTCATCATCATCAGCCTCAGTGTTGCTGCTGTCTTTATCAGCGCTGCTATGTATGGCTGTTATATAAAGTAAGTCATACAGAAAAAAAAAATATTGTCTTGTTGTAAGTTTTTTGAAAGCCTTACACTGTAACTCTTGTTGTGTTGTGTCATGTTTGTGATGTGTTTATTTGTTTGTGCAATTTTAGGCTCAAAACAAAGTGGTCGGACATAGTTGCCAAATGTCCAAATCCAAAACTACTGCTTATGCATTCAAGTGAGCAAGAGGTGAGTTACAAAGTGATCTGTGCCAAAATCTGAAAACTGAAAACAGTACCATCCATTACTCATTCTTTGAAATCTGATGGCAGTTGCAATTATTATTATTAAATTACTCTTTATTTAAATAATGTAAAATGTATCTACATGTGCTGGAAATCTTGGCAATGGCAATATAGGAGTAGCAGTTTATGTGGTGTTTTCAAGGTTGGAAAAAAGCTTGAATTAGAGTTTTTATTTTAGTCAGCTGCAAATATGGTTTGACCCCAAAAACATTGCAACAAAAGGTTTTTCAATGGATTATTGTAGTATCAGGTGAATTTATCTTTTCACCCTTTTTAGAATGGTGTCACAAAAAACAATTGTGGTTGTTTAAATCACAGGACTTTAAGTCATAAAGACGTGTACTAATCAGTATATTGTATTTACTGTATATACATTTGTATTTAACAACAGCAGAAAGGTGCTGAAAAAGCTTGAAAATTCACCTTGAAAGGCTTCAAAATGGCTTTAATTTCACGTTTAAAAAGGTGAAGGAACCATTAAGTATATTTGGCTGCAAAGTTAACAGATACAGCTCGATCAGAAAAGTTCCATATCTATATTTTGAATTGCTTTTATCTTCCTTGTTTCAGGTCTTGAAACCTGCCCCACCGATCCTCTCCTCTGTCTGGGTAGACTCCCCCGATCCAGAGGACAGCACATGGTTAGTGTGGCTGCAATAGCAATATTTCCTTCAAGATTTCTTTGGTTATATTGGCAGTTTAAGTAACCCATTTCTCTGTATTCAGGTCGGAGGGTTCAATGAAAGACATAAGCAGTGGGAGCCCTCAGCAAAGCAATGGAATCAGCACGGGCTCTTCTTGTCTTAGTTATGCTAATGCGGAACCCACTGACATTATAGCCAGAGTTCAGGATGCCCTTTGTTTGGCCTTCCCTGATATACGCCCGATGTCACCTTTGACTACCAATCTGCTCACAGAACCAAACAAAGACTTTGGTTTGCCCTCCTCTCCCTACAAACCCTGTGGTGTCAGAGCTGATGACACAAGTGTTGGATCATATTGCTTTGACAATCAAACCTATTGCAGCCTACTTCCCAACTTCGATGGCTCTGATGTCAAGGCTGAAATCCTTTGTGATTCTGAAAACCTTCATAGTTCGGGTGACATTGTACCCCGTGTTGACCAACAGGCACTGGCTTGTCCACTTTTGAAGTTACCACCAGGGGATTCAGCTCTTATGCCAATCGACATGTCATACCAGCAGAACAATGCAGATTCTTGGGGTGTTTCGCTTGCTGAAAACTCCAGTTTGTCCTCAGTGTCTAGTGGAACCAACACAAATGCGTCATGCGATCATGTGTCCGGAGTTAAATCTGACGGTGAGGGCTTTGATGAGGCCGTCCATGATGCAACAAAGCAACTTGAAAAAACTGAAGGGGCGATAATGTGTGATGAAAACCCCTTCTACGGCGGTGTGCCTGCAGGCTTGCAGAGCCTCCCTCCAGTATACGACGACTACCAGCCATTTCAGAGTCTGGTGGAGCAGCCTGGTCATTTGTTTACAGAGGAGAAAAGAGGTGAGAAAGAGGAACATTTAAACACATATCCAGAGGAAGCATTCCCCAAGATGCCTCAAAGCTTCTTAGGACCCCTTGCTTCAGGTTTCATTAACAATGTCCACTGTCCCTCCACGCTCCAAACACAGTTTCTCTCTGTGATCCCTGCTGACCAGTCAATGCCAATCATCACAGACAGCAGCTATCACAGTGTTTAGCTCTGACTTTTTTTGCATTCATTTTTTGTGTTAACTTCGTCCTTGTTTAAATGATATTGAGGCATTGTTGATCAAATGTAGAGCACAAGGGAGAGGGAGGATGTTACAGACTTTGAATGGTGTTCAAGCCCTTAGGAAATACTCAAGTTTAATTTTTTAGTATTACTATTTTAACGGCTGTCAAGGATATAAGCTGAAATGAAAAAAAATGAAAAAACATTGCACCTTAAGAGCAGTTGATATTGATATTTTGTAAATACTTTGCAACTGTGTATGATTGATTTAGTTAAATATGTAATTTTGTACATAAGAAACATTCATGTAAAGTGTATCAAAAACAGAATATACTTTTTTTTTGTTTTAAAGGCGCGCTTGATCCAATGCTTGAACAAACAGCTCACTTATCCGTATCTAACGTCATTTGTTTGTTACTCGGTTCATAGGACATGTTTTCCATAGATGTTGTGTAAAGCTTGCTTAACCACCCAGTCTGTATCGTAAGTAAGACTTGTGAAACATACAGACGAGTCATTTCCGGCAGTTTACTTCAGCCCCTCGCTGAGCTTGATTTGGCCAGAGCGCTTATCATAAGAAAATAGTATATGTCCTCAATTGTGATATTACAACCAAGCCTTTTAAGGAAAATTAAGTTAACCCTTTGTTTTAAACAAGTCATCAATCCTAATGAGCATGTGTTATTCAGGATTGTGAAATGACTTCCTCATTGCTCTTCTTTGGAACTGCTGAGCCACTTCCACAGAGACACACCACGTCACAGCAAATAAGTAAACTCACATGAACTCGTTTTACTATGAAGTTCAGTTCATTATGTGCAAAGAAAAAGAATAAAAGCACATTCATTAAGTGTATGCTGTTCAAAGAGCTTGAGTTGTGCTTTAAAGGGACATTGCTGCTGATTGTTAAATTGTTGTTTTGATGTAAGTAAGCAATTTTCTTATTTAAATGGTGTTGTTGTGACAGAGGACATTGTAGTTATATCTGCAAATAACAATAAAAAACAAGTGCATGGCTACTCTTTATTGCATTTGAAGGAACTTATGAAAGATGGCATGAAGACTTCCTAAAATGTACTTCCTTAATTGAACGTAGTTTCTGTTGAAACTGGGTATAAGGGCATGAAAGTATTTGGGGATGACAAGTATGTTTACGTTTTATTTTCTTAGGGCCTCCAAAGAGTAGAGACTTTTTGGAGTTAAGGTGACAATTGGTTCAAAGTACAGATACATTTACTAGACCTCCCAATATATTATGTTAATATAAACATGGGTAAATGTTAATTAAATGATAAAACAGTATGGTAATATCATTACAAAATATTACCAAGATTAAAATAAATAATTTACTATATATTGAAATGTAATGTATTAATTCAATATTATTTTAGCATGAATACAAATTAATATTTTATCATCACTTATTGAACAATTGAATAGGATTGCAAGAGCTACACTATTTTATTATAAATAGCACTCCAACACATTGTACATCTCTAAAAGTGGTTGACCAACAGCTACAGAGCCGGCCAGCTAACCAATCAGAGCAGACTGGGCTCTGGTTTCAGACAGAGGGTGAAAAAAGTCTGAGAAAAATGTTTGAACATTAAAGCATGTAAACACGTCACAGTAGAGACACAAAATACAAATATGACACCTGAGAAATCAGCATAATAGGGCGCCTTGAAACATGACTTGGCACGAAAACATTATGCTCAAAAGAGAGGAGGCCAGATGTAGCTACAAGCTAATTTTCATCTGCAGTCCCTGGGCAGGTGCTGACATGACAATCAACAAACAATAAAAACATTACTCTGTTTCTACTTATTAAAAATAAAGACAGTTCAGAGCAAGGATAAACATTAGAATACCAGTACAAGCAAAACATTGAAGTTTTTTTTCACCATGGGATAGCGTAAAGGTCTGAGCATTGTTAACTCTGCTTCCATCTGGTGGTTTTACATGAAAGCCCAGTGCCTCACTGCTACCACAGTAACTTGATGGAAAACCACATCCAAAAAAAATCAAAGACCACATTTTGTTTAGCACTGACCTAAACCCAGCAGGTGACTTTGAACTAATGCTGAGTCCTCAATTCAGCATGTAGAAACGCAGGGAAAGCATTAATACACTTTACATGCTTTCATACTGTACAGTATTTCCTGTAATTGGAGGAGCCGCCTAAGCAGCGAGGCAAGTTATTGGAGGAGGAGAGCTTGTCGTACCTGTGAGGCCCTGGATTGGAAGATTACAGCAGAAAAGGGGTGGGTGTCCCTGGGTAACCTCTGATTATACTGAACTCCTAGGAAAAGTTCTGTTATTGCTGAAACTCCTGTGTAACCAGTGACACTTCTCTACATGTATGCATAACTGAAGCTGTGACTCCAGTATGCAGCACCCAGGCCGGCTGAGGCTGAGGCCGTGGCTGGAGGAGCAGATCGAGTCTGGGAGCTACCCAGGAGTCAGCTGGCTGGACCAGGTAGACCCCTCACCATCATCACACATGCATTCACACCTGGGTGCAAACTGTTCTGCTGTACATCAATTTGGTTATATAAATGATAAATAATCAGGGATTAATATTAGCATAATGTTTTCTGTGCTTCTTTTTTTTGCATTTTATTCAACAGGCAGCACAAATCTTCCAAATCCCGTGGAAACATGCCGCTCGTCATGGATGGAGTATTGACCGAGATGCTACACTCTTCAGGAGTTGGGCCATGCACACAGGTAGGACCCTGCCATATATTTATATAAAGGTGTTTTCTTCTCTATTGTCCACTCAGACATCAGATTTCGTATTATCTTTAGCATTGACTCCTCATATTATATAAATCTGAGGGACTTTGTTTGATACCCTGTGTTAAGTTTTTACATTTACAGCAGCAATGTGTAAAAACACAACAAGCTTATATGTTGTATCAAAAGGCTGCTGCAATATGTTGAAATCATTTTCATATGAGTATATTTCGGTAATGCTAGTGTGCCACATGTTTGAATCAATGCTGAATGTTTTAACTATAATGTGTACACATTTATAATACTAATTACTCTTGCCTCCTCATGTAATGGCATTCACCTTTTCCCCTTACATGGTTTTCTTGTAGACTGGGGGCAAAGAAACTTAACCTGTGTTCATGTCACTGGTAACATTTTTGCCCTGTCATTGAAGGTTACATTACCCCATAAAGATTTGTTTTACTGGATGGCCTAATTCATGTAAACAACTCCAAAGAATAATCATCAGTTCAACATATCAATGATTTATTATTCAACACATCCTGATAAGATTTGCATACGGTCTGTTTCCTGCTAAGCAGAAGTATTTATTCCAGTCAAGTGTAGCCACACTTACATTGTTCTGATCATGTCTTTCTAGACTTACCACATTCATACCTTTCAAGCTTAGAGATATGAAGTGTCCAGTAGCCTTTACAGTAACAACAACAGTGTGTTACAAATAAACAAATAAAGAAAATGTGAAAAGATCCGACTTTAAAAATAAAATGATTGATTGCTTTATGTTGTTTTTAGCGCTCACATTGTCCAGACTTGTTCTTACGTTTCACACGCAAAGTTCATCAGACATGTCCAACTCACATATTAAGCTATCTTTGGCTCTTACCTACCTGCTGTAACAATGTACATTTCCCCTCTGTGGGACGAATAAAGGTTATCTGTTTCCGCAGTAAAACTATTTTATGGTAAACATTTCATTTATTTGACATCTTCTCATGGGAATCATGACCATTTTTTAAAGATGTGTGTCTGAATACACACACACACACACACACACACACACACACACACACACACACACACACACACACACACACACACACACACACACACACACACACAATAGTCTTGGGAAAGTCACGCTTTGTGAGTGTAACAGCATCACATCATGGGAAAGCTTCAGTTCACTTGCTGTGAATGTGGTGATCATATTGCTGTCAAAGTTCAACAGGCTTTTCACGCGATCTAGAAAAAAAAGATAATCATGTAAAAGCGGACACTGTAGGGGGATGTTTTTAAATTCAGCTCAATATTCAAAACTTAAATACAATTAAGCCAGAATACAGACTACATTACTGAACAATTGGACAACAAAAATACACATACCATGTGGAGGCTCTGTGAGTCACGGCAGTTGGGGTTGCAGCATGTGAGTAATATGCTACCCGTGCTCCCTTTCTACTTGTTAGCCCTTGTCAGCTGTAAATGATCCCTAGTCGATGTTTTAAGCTCAAATGATTTTATAATTGATACTTAGAAACAGAGGCTTGGCTGGGATCCAAATACCTGCGGACACATGTGAGAACTCAACACAATGGAGGAAGTCACACACTTGATGATTTATGGATCTAACTAGTCTTTAAACAGTAGCTTAAGTGTGAAGGTGTCAATAGGATCTCTGTGCAGTGAGCCATGTATGGATGCTAGGTTTTGTGTTTTACCTTCCAATAGATTTAGAGACAAAAAACATAGTTATTTAGGAAAGATTAGCAGAAAATAGAGTCATAATGGCCATATTTATGCATAATACATGGAGTTAACTATACTGGAATTGTCCCACACAACACCCTGGAAATATTGTTTTGCTGACCACCAGTTGTTGAACTTCTCCTCTCGATGCAGTGATACACAGATGTAGTCAAGTACGCCGTGACAACACTGATGGGTGTAGTTACAGTGGCAACAATGTACACTTCTGACAACACTTGAAACTTTATTTAATGCTTTTTTTTTTTATCCTTGTCCTATAAAATAGCAATTATTTAAACATTACATGTTACTTGTTAGACGCTTTTATCCAAAGCAACTTACATACTCAATACTGTGGGCAATCCCCACAGGAGCAATTTTGGGGTGAAGTGTCTTGCCCAGGGACACATCGACATGCTGACTGCAGTGTGGTTTGAACCTGTGCTCCCCTGATCCGAACACACACAACCCACAGCGCCACACGCCTCCTTTAAACTTACAGCTGCTGAGCGAAAAGGTGTCAGAATCAACTTACTTCTGGTTTGAACTCTGGTTTGCTTGTTCAGTAGTTGCTAATATGATATGTAAACATTTTTTTTTCAGGGCGGTACCATCCAGGCAAAGATACACCGGACCCCAAGACATGGAAGGCAAATTTCCGCTGTGCCTTGAACTCGCTGCCGGACATCTCTGAGCTGCGGGAGCACAGCAGAAAGAGAGGCAGCAATGCCTACAGAGTGTACAGGATTCTGCCCAAAACACCAACTCACAGACGCAGGAGGGGTAAGACAGACATGCCTTTCAAGTGTATGTATCTCTTCAAAGGTTAACATCCTCAGACAGACCTCATGAGACAGTGCTACCCTTTCCCAGGGCTGCAGTTGTTCAGCAGGCCGCGAGAAAGACATGGGAGTTTAGTTGATGAAACACAAACTACACATGCCTGGCAACCAAGAACGACAAGACCCATTTCAGACATACCGCAGAAGGTTGTGACGCCCGCAGAAGGCCCATTTGGTAACATGCAAACACACGGTGAGACGCTGGTTGTCAAAGCGTTTTGTTTTGGCTGTGATTTTAAATGATGTTGTCTCTGTAGTCTGGTACAAATTATACTGATTTTCAGGCATGTGGGATGGCAGACCAGAGGAGCAGGAGCAGAATGAAGCTGTGTTTAAGGTATGTTCTGACTGCCTTAACATTTTTGGGGCTTATTCTTTAGTGGAGTTTCTTTTATTTGGCAGAATGAGTAACTCCCTTAAAATGAGAAGGAAAAGACTACTGAAGAAACTGCATTCCTCTAAATTAAAGGGACATTTGACACGTAAATGTCATGTCATTTAATGATTTGTTTTCATCACATTAAGAAAGAAGCCTGTTATTTAACATAATACAGCTCAGTCAAGGAGGATGACATTTGTTGTTAAACGGTTAATGGTGTAGTTTGGGGAAAATAAAATTGATCCTGCATGAAACTGTCACTACAAGGTCTATGGATTATCTTGATTGACTGGCTCATGATTTCTTGAAAGAGTCATTGCTTCTGAGTTTTACACTTGTATTCTTTCGGCGCTATAAGCACCATGAGCCTAGTGCCATTTACTCCCATTATACTCAGGAGAAAGTATCTCTATGGACGATAATTCCAACACTCAATCACACCGAGATAATCTAGTTTTTTTTTTAATTAGCACTGTCTGTAAGAGATCAGTGGCATAATATAAATATAATGTATTTTTTATTTCTTGTAATTTCACTGTTGAATCTTGAATTATGAATTACACTGGGATGAATATTGGGCTGTGTAACGCTCTAGAAGTCTGACTGACTGAAGGTGTTCTGTCTCTCGTAGTTGATGGACCACTTGAATAACACTGACGTCTGGAACCAGTCTGAGGAGCAGAGGGAATGGAGAACACACACACTGTGGGACCACTGGCACCGTAAGACTTTGTGTGTCTGTGTGAATTAAGAAGTCCTCGACTGTCATACTCATATAGTTTGCTAAAAGATTTATTATTATTTTTAAAGGTCACTTATCATACAAAATACACTTTTTCATGTCTTTTATTCATAAACATGTGTCCCCTCTGCGTAAAGAGATTCTGAAAAAAGATTTTCTCACTTTTTGTCCTGATCCATTTATATAAAAAACTTGTCTGAAAATGAGCTGATCAGATTTTGTTCACTTTATGATGTCATAACGATGTTGTGGCATGTGTAACCATTAGCCAATCAGCAACCAAGGTAACCCCCCCCCCCACCTTATCACCTGAATCTCCTTCTAGCACCATTGTGTTCTTTTTAACNTAACCAAATATCTCTCAGAGGGGCGTGGGGAGGGGCTCCTTATTTTCATCTAAAGTAACAGACAGAGAATCAGCACTTTTGAAACAGGGCTGAAACAGAGGGGATTATGGGTAATGCTGCAATGATCTGTTTGGTGTTTGGAGCCAAACACTTCAGAGACATGTTTTGTATACATCTGAGACCTATATATTGATGAAAAACAGTATAATAGGAGACCTTTAAATAATTGATTGAGGTATTCAATTAAATAAAATCCATAGTGTTTACGACACAGCTTATAATAGGTAAGAGCCTTTGCATTTGGGTCTAAATGTTATTTTGTGCTCCTCAGGTGCTGGGGATGATGACCCGTACTCTCTGCACACAGAGAACTACAGTGAGCTGTTTGGTCCAAACCACATCAAGGAGCTCTCCGATTGGTCCACACACCAGCAAACACTGATGCTGTAGTTTTGCACTAAACAACTCATCGTTTCTGCAGTTTGCATTCTTGCTTATATTCAGCGTCTTTCTTCCTGCTGTCTGTGTGATGAGCTGACCACTGGAAATAAGAAACTAAATTGCTCTGTGAGTCAGTCGGGCGGTCATCCCCTCTGCTGAGCACGCTGAGATGAAGATCCTGTTCCAAGCCAAGCTTTCCTCTGTCATCATCAATTGGGTTCAGTGCCTCAAACGTACTGACATGACACCAAGCTCTCACCACAGCTCACTCTGTAAACTGATCTCACGCTTCACTGCACGATCACTTATTTCTTTGAGTTTCACTGGATGTTTAGCGAACATAGGAGAAGCACACAGAGGCATGACAATGTGGCTGCAACAGTTTGTAGGCTGGGGGGTGGAGCTTAAAACACCACATAACTACACATTCATGTGATTTAACCTGCAAACTATGTATAGATGTTATGCCCTTTATACACATTAGATAACTACATGTATGCCTTGGGTTAACCATTTTTAAGTCTTGTCAGAGAAACTCCATTTTGTATATTTTTCAATTTTTACAGCTGGTTGTTTTTTGGTGAAATTAATACAACCTGCTTTTGTGTTTGCTTTGTATTTTTAAATTAAACTGAAGAAACTAAAGTATAATTTTGTCTGAAATGTTGTGTATGCATATGAACTGAAGGAGATGGCTGTTATTTAAACAGTGGAATTAATTAATGTTGGCAGTCACCCAACCCAGTTTCCCATCCACACTTCTATGGTTTCATTTAAAAACTGCAAAAGATCTGATTTTCGTATTTATTTGTAGCTACACTTAACCCACAGGTTAAGAGGAATTTAAATAAACTATAGCTAAAGCTGCTTACAGCACAATTGGGTTAGTACTTGTAGTGGAGTACTTGTTCCTATTGCATCTGTATTTTAGCTAAAGGACCTTTGCATTGAGTCAATGGTCGTTGACAGGAATGCCTAGACTAGAGTATTTTGATATTAAAATAGTTTCAAATGTTCCTAACCCAATAGATGTCGGCGTCCAGCCTGAATTAAAAACATAGGAGAGACATTTTGTTTAAACTTGAACATTTAACATTTATTTCTCATTGTTTATTCTGAAAAATGCAGAAAAGACAGATGAACTTCCCTTAAAGTGAGAAGGAAAACAAAAAACATTGCTCCTACTCTCTGCCTTCCCAGTAATGTTGTACAGAAAACGAACCTTAGATACGAATGATCCTGAAAACAAACCAACCATGAATCCATTACCTTCATGTTAAGTATTTACAGTTTCATCATAAAAGAAGTCCCATGACAGGAATTCCAAAAGGAAACATTTCTTAAGTCACATTCAACCAATGTGCTAGCACAGCCTGCTGGTCACATGATATACAGCAATCCCAGTCTGCGGTCACACCTTGGTTCACACACTACAGCGTTCAGCAGAGAGCTGGAGAAACACTAACTAGTCTACACATAGGAGGATCTCTTATCACAAAGGAATTACTACTGAACATATAAAGAGGAACAGATGAGCTTTGAACAATACCAGCCTGATAAATCACATGAATAAATCTATGTTGGGATAGTGGTCACCAGCATTGTAAGGCTGTAAAATGATAAGATATTACAAATGTGACTATATCTATCAGGTCATTCGTGCTGCCTGGTACCAACACCAAATATTTCATTCTTTCATCATAAACATTTTGACAATAGCACCCATTGAACACCAATTGACACAGACTTTCGCTTGAATTGATAAAAACAACCACATTCAGTTGTTAGTCGATCACACGATGGACATGGAGGACACATAATCACACCTACAGACCCAGGCCGGCTGGTTTGCTCGTCACATTTGACCTTTTCATTAAAGAATGACAGGAGGCAGTGATGAGCAGCAGGAGGGGGCCATGATTTAATGTTCACCCTGCATCTGCTCCATCACTATTGGCAAAGATATTATCGAGGTATTTTCAATCAAGCCAGGTTATGAAATGTTGACTACATGGTGAAAATACTGAGGGATCAAAATGTACCAGCCATTCAATAAAAAGGAAAAATATGAACTGGCAACCAGCGTAATCAGGCAATAGCTGCACTTATTTACTTTCCCCTAAGAGAGGAATCCTTTAAAGAAAATTACACCTCCTTGAAAAAGGAGGTATAACTTTGTGTAATTTTAAATGCTTTTGACAAAATATTTGTTAACATCACATGAAAACATTTTTTAACACTGAAGCAACTTCATCACGAACACTGCTACAAAGGCGGGTCGCGTTAGATTGAATGACATTTAGTAGCACGTGTCAGATTTTAAGAGATCTGGCATTTGAATTGAAGAAACAAGAAAGTATTAGGACCTCTGGAGGGACAAGATAATGACAGAATTAACTTATTATGTTATAATCAAGAGAAATACAAAAAAAGACAAAAATATATATGGAGTGGGTAAATCACAGGTTTGGGGAATACTGATATCTGCAGCAAACTGACCCACATTTGTAGCCGTGTTTGCATTTGGTCACTTCTGAGTTGAATTCTTGGTCTACTGTTGATACATAAGCATTGAAAAGAAAAAATACATAGAAAAATATGAATCTAAGAATCACTAAGCTAAGCATTTGCAGCTTCAAGCTCCGAAACGAAACCAGTTAAACAAATAATGAACATGACTTCAGAAGGCAGATTATATGAAGTTCATCGTTTATTAAAATTCTATATGGTTCAATCTAAATGAGTATAAAAAAAACAGTTGAAATCAATGCGAAATTCCTAAGCAAGTGTGAGTGTACAATGTTTGATCCAGTGTACTCTACTCATTTCAAGTTTATTACAAGACAGCAATCTTAACCCCTGAAAGCAACTCAGAGAATCAGGAGTACTTCTCAGAACAAAACAATGAACATATAGCTTTTTGCCTTGCTACCTCTACCTGTCCTTTGATAAACCTCTGAGAACAAAGAAGGAAACGGAATGTCCCAAATCTCCAGCGTGGCCCAGCCACCGTGAGGTCCGTTTACAAATCAGATAATAAATACAGGCATCCAAATGGGCTACAACAGCAAATATTTTTGAAAATATTTTCCTCATGCATACACACAAGCATACGTCTGATTGAGACTATGAGCTTTCTAAACCCTCTTATCTATTCTGAACAGTTATTCTTTACAGTGCAACAGTATGGCAGCAAATGGATAGCAGTGCTTTCATTAAAAAAAGGAATGGAAAATAAAAATATATACAACATTATGGAAAAGCAGTAGTTTCATCTTTTGGTCCTGCGTCCTTTACAGACAGAACTGCTTTTTGAAAATGCTTCCTTATATCAACAACAGTAGTTTCCACAAGACTGTGAAGGGCTGTGAAGGGAGAAGAGTGACACATGTTAGGCTGTGAGGTGCTAATGATAGGAGGAGCGAATCACACCAGTTTACCTTTTAATACGAGCCCGTTTGGACAGACTTTAGGTGAATTCTCTTTGGAGAGTGAACAGGATAATGATTAAAAGTGAAAGTGACCATGGCAACCTCCAGTGGGAGTTTCTAAACAAGGCAGGGTGCAACACTAACAGCTGCCTGAGGCCAGGAGAAAGGAATGCTACTGCCCTAATCAGGCCAGTGTTGGAAAGCTAAAACTTACAAATAAAGACTGTAGAAATGAAGAAATGATTCTGCTGTGTCATTGTTAATTACAAGGACAATGGAAGTGGTTATCTGTACATGAGAGCTAATCAGGAGGAACAAGGACATCCAGTCCTTCATGAAGGCAGGGCGAAATTCCCCGAATAAAAAAAGACCATGTATAGAACAGTTCAAATATGTGCTGGGAGGCATATCACCAGTTTCCTTTTAAAGACATAAGACAAGCCTGCTGCTGTGTGTAAGCATGATTTACCATAAAAAGCCTGGGTCAAGTCAGTGACTTTTAGTTGAAATAGTCAACTGGGAAATCTTTAAACTTAAAAAAACGGGTGTCTTAATCAAAAACGTGTTAAAGCTAGAGGCTAAAAACTAAACCCATATATTTGATAACACTTGTTTGATCTGGATTAAATCATCAAAGGCAGAGGATATACCCGCTTTCTTGGGAAATGAACATGCCGCGTGTTGCTTGCATTGTTAAATCTGCAGGTGTTCACATTATCCCTCAAAACAAACTTAACATGTAATCAAAAATATGTATTTGCACTCTGGTGTTTTTTGTGTCGTGAAAGTTATGTGGCTGCATACCAGTTTCTCAGAGTAAAGAATCTCTCACCTTGTTACAACTGAGAGCCTTCGGATCCTCCGTGCACGTAGCCGCCTTTAGACTTCATCTGGGCCTGGACAAGGTCCACCTGCAAACATCAAGGTGTGAATGTTACTTATCTCTGTTGGCTTTACTCTGTTCATCAAATGTTCTGTGGAGGTGATGGTAAGAAATCATACCGATGACAATCCCAGGCCCATGTCCCCCGAGCCTACGTGTGTGGTGTGAACAAAGTTTGTTGGCTCGCCGATCATGGAGCGATCGATCCGTCGTCGCCGTTTCTGAAAATGAACGACATAAATATCAATTTTTTTGAAATGTATGTTTAGTCGTCTGACATGCATACATTTGTGTCCACTAATCGAACAGCCGAGTTGATTTGACAGATCTTTGAAACTGAGTTACTCCAGAGAGAATCACGCAGAAGCACCACATTTTCTCTGGTGTTTACCAGAGGTGTGGTCATACGTCTGTTTAAGTCAGGGGGTTTCAAAGTGTGGGAAGGTGAGCCTCCCCTCAGAGAACATAAGAACAGCCGTGCCCCCCCTCCCAATTATTATTGCTATTATTATTGTTGTTGTTGTTGCTATAATGCAGGGGTATTATTATCCAGTGGAATGCCCTTCACCGGCTGGCCTAGTTAAATCAAAGTGGTTATTTTCTTTTGGCTGGGCAGTGTAGTTCTACCACACGTCTTTATTTGACTTTCTCAGACTTAAAACTGTTTTTTGGGGCAGACCCCACAAAAAAAAAAAAAATGTACACGTAAAGGTCATCATCTTAACGGTTTGTTATGCTCATCGAGTCATCGTGAGCAGAGCATTCAAGTTGGCATGTCTATACAGCCTGGAATGTGCATTACTAATCTTTTCAGCAAAACGCCTCACACACTGATTAAGATCTACAGCTTTAGTGCGTTTTGATTCGATGCTGAGTACAGTCCAACTTCACCAGTCTCTTCTCTTCATTGGTAGGACCGCAAATACCTCATTCCTTCCTTCTACTTGGGGGTCTGAATGCGCCGCCCCCGTTCAAATTAAATCTCCGCTAAC